TGTATACTCCAACCCTCCAACCACCTCTCCCCACTACATCTAAAACTCCACACCCCCAATACATTGCGTAAAAACCCCAACACACACCCCATCCCCCTTGCTATCCACATCCACCCCTGTCCATATGAACAACAATTCCTATCTCCTCCTATCACAGTAACAAAAGGCAAACCCCCTCAAATAAAAAAGCAAAACATCCCTCACGAAAATTACCTAACTGTTGCATTTTCCATCCGCCGGCATGGTATACTCCTATAAAAACAAACCCATTTTTCACACCCCACTCTCCCTCTACCTGCACCACCCTCCCACCCCCACCCTCCTCCCTCCTCAACATGCACAGGAACTGGTTTCCTTAACACCACAGCAAACCCCCCCTTTTACCCTCACCGATCCACTCACATATAACTATATCCTTCAAATGCAAACTCACATCCAAACATTGTAATTATGCTCCTGTAAGAAACACATATCCCACATCATATCTTCCTCAAAAACCATTCCATCCACACCCTCGTTAACTCAGCTCCAACCAGGCAGTTAACATTAATGGTTACCACCTTGAATTATTACAAAAAACACAACCCCCTTCACTTTTGAAGGTTGCTCGAAAGACATGGCGTTGACTATAGCCACGTTGCCCACTTATTCTATACTCCAGAACTCCGATCCACCCATTTTCCTTTGACCCTTGCAGCACCACAGAACTGGTGGCCACCATTCCCCGGGAATCTATCACATTCTTCCAAGGTTTCTTCCAATTCTCTGCCCAGGCGTTAAGACTCTTCCATATAAGACATCCAGCTGCTCCTCTTACTGTGCCACCTTCTCCACACGTTGCCCGCACATCCATGCCCTACCCATGGTGCAACCTCAACCACCACTGTGTGCTGCTTACATCTCGTTGCACAAGGTGTCTTCACACTCCTGTACAGCTGCTACCCCCCTCCATGCCCTCTCCATCCTTCTCCCTTCCTGACTGTCTTCCACTCCCCCAGAAATTTTCAAAAGGGGGACCTCATCCAACAGACCATCCTGTTTAAAGTCCACTCTTCAACAATCGCATCCCGTATATGGCCGCTTCAGACACAGTGTATGTTTCCCCACCCCCCCCACCCAACAGGTAATGTGGGCGCACGCTCCCACTCTCCGACTCCACTCTGTCTACTTCTTCACTCCCAAACTTCCAGACGCCTGGCTTGCAGCTTTAAACCTGTCCAGGTGCCAAGGACCCAGCTGTCGTTCCACTTTGTTGGCACCTTTCCCCCATCCGTCCCTGCCTTTGATGCATTGGCCGCCATATGGACATAAGACACGCACAGCCTACATATCCTACTTGCCTGCATAATATACTTAAACCTGTGTTCTGAACTCTTCCATCAGAATGGTACGATGGTATAGGTTGTCTCAATGTCATCTTCAAGTGAAAGATCCCTCTGGCAGCCCCATGTAAGGCCCATCCTTCCACACTCCCAACTCTGAATAATGGATCTTGCCTAACTACAGAATACCCCCACAACATCATATTTCCAAGCCTCCAAAGGTGACATTTATCAACTTTACCACCCACGTTACATAGCTTGAGACGTCATGTAGGGGCAACCTCCACTGCAGAATTAATGGTCATCCTCCCTTTCCCTTGGAATGTGTCGACATGCTGGATAAAAACCCAGCACACTTGAAACTGATGAATAATCCTCCGACACCGCCCATTCACTGCTACACCATACAGCTCGTCGTTTGGTATGCTGTACACATCGCAGATATACTTACTTTGGCAAGAAGCACCTGCTTGTAGAACTATTCAGGGTATCACTTACCACCTCCCCACAGTATTATACCCTGCGTCCATGTCTGTCTGCCATTTTGATGCTCAAAAAACAGGAAAAATACTGCACAGAAAACCAGATGATTCGGAAGCTACTGCGCCAGCTTGTCCACACGGCCCGAAGCGATGAGGACAAATGAGGCTTTTATATGATGTTTCATCATGTAGTTTTAAGGGAAATACTAGTGGCTCAAGGTGTAAATAGCGGATGTGTGAATGGTATCGTACTTATGTGTATATGTTCAGTATTTATGTTTTATAGTAGCCTGTTTTAATGACGATGTTTTTATTTATATAATTAATACGTTATATGACATTTTAATAAAAAATGTATATAAAAAAAAAAAACACTCTTTATGAAAGCTTGAATTAATGTCGCACGAAAAGGATAATTCTTATCCCTGAAATTTAATATATCATCCTAATTTTTTTTTTTTCCACATCGACGGACCTGTCAACAGACAATCATTAAAACTTAGTACATCTTACTCTTCCGCTACAAATTAAAAACAATTCTTAGGGGAGTAATTTTTAGAATCCTTCTTAACTCCAATGAGGCGGTAAGTAAAGGGGCCATAAATTTTTGTCTGCTCAGAAGGTATTTTCCTCTATGAATTTATTTTTATATTAACTGATCATTAATAATATGATTATTATTATAGTATAAGCAGTCAATAATTCCGGTGTCCAACTCAATTCGGAGCGGAGTCTTACTGCCAATAGGACCATACTATATTTGTAGGTAACCTGATAATTTTTTTTTAACTTTTATTAAAAAACCTTACAAAAGTACAAAAGATACATAATAGTTAGTAAAAAAAAATAAAAAAAAAAAACATAAAAGAAATACCGCTGCCAGCACCAGGTTATTCCTGAGAGACAAGTATATAACAACAGTACTCGCAAAAGACAAAATTCCACTGGTCATTAACAGTCATTGGTAGGTACCGTTCCCCACGTAATTGTGAACAATGAACACACCAAAGGGAACTTTACATGGTTTTAACAGTAATTAGGAGTACTTGATATAAACTATTACAACAATACCACAACAACGTGCACAAATCACAAGGTTACTATAGTAAAGGTGGTAACAACATGACTAAAAGGCAAGCAACAATTGTTACACAAAAAAAATATACATACAAATCATGTCTAAAGTATTGTGACCTAACAAAGCTATCGTAACACTATAATAAACACAATACGAACATACCATCTATACAGGTATTTGGTTTTAAGTTGTGTTATGGAATAGCACGTGAAAAACATGTATATTGTGTAAAAAAAAAATTAAAAATATTTACCAAACACTGTAAAGTCTTAACCTAAGTATCCAGGCAGGTACTGGAAAATATTAACAGTAGTGGTAACAAAGAAACGGAAATGCTAAAAAACAAAAACCTATGATTAACATACATTGAACTTACTCGTATAACACAATTTTATTAAGGAAACTAGCAACCAAAATTACCTTTACATTGGTTTAGAAATAAAATCTCTGATGAGTCTGACCACCCACCCCCTTATATAAACTTAGCCCTAACATTTACTGAATCATTACTCAAATTTTTTTTTGAAAAGGAAACAAAGGGCACATACATGTAACATACAATGAAAAATAAACACAAAAACATGCTCTTTAACAAGGTACTCAGCATTTACTGATATCCCACACACATCAAAGGGGTTTGAGACCAAAACCTACACATTAATTTAAACATCCCAATTTTGTATATAAAAAACCCTAAACCCTTGTCCACAAAATTTTTGTAAAAAACCCCTTAACAGTAAAAACCAAACCCCAGTGCATTACTGAACCTTCAAATTCCATCCATTACAAAACGGCAATACAAACATGGCATTAACCCGAGACCTATACATACTCTTAAATTATTAAACATACAACCTCCAGCAGACTACAATAAGTCAAAATAAATGTTAAACAAAAATTCACAAAACCCCTAAATTTCATAATACAAAATATTTGTCCTTTCATTCGACAGTCCCTTTTTACTGCACAAGACATCAAACCCCACAAATCCATCCCCAAGTAGTAAGTAAAGGGTCTCTTTATCTTGCCGGTCCCAAAAGAAAAGACATGTACCTCAGAAAACCGATGTCTTGAATCCAAATTGTCTTATCTGGTTTCTTAAAAACCGAGATTCTAATTCTCTCAAACCCATGGATATCCAGATAGTCTACTATGACGTACATTATAGCCCTTCCCACATCCTTAGGCACTCCTCTTACATCTAACATTTAAAAACCCTTAAAAGCGGCAAACGTGCCCACCCAACAAACTGATAACCCCACTCATCATGATCTCCCCCCCTCCAAAGAGAGTGTCATGCCCCTATGGTTAACCTTCCTTTAATATTACATTGCGGTCATTTCCTTTAATAGCTAAATTGGAAATGAACGTCCTTGTATTATTAAGATTAATTCTTATTAACAATTATAATTTTGTAACATGGCCATGATAAAGTTTAATTGGAGCTATAGTAACCTGCCTGCCGCCCGGTGTGCCGGTGTGTAGTTAGCCGTGATGTTCGATGGTTATACCCCCCCCCCCCCCCCCCCCCCCCTCTTCAACTACTCTAACTGAGTGTTGGTGAGTCACGTCACGTGACCCACTTTACCTGTATGCTCAAGGTTGAGGGACGAGCAGTGAAGAAGTAGCAGCCAACGAGAACACTCCTGCTCGTCTCTGGTAACTGGCCAAGATTTATTAGCCGGCCTGGACATATTCTGTTTTATTCTGACTGCTTCCAATTGGGAAACAAGACTTTAATGTATAAAGTAATCTCCATTTATATATATGTTATATCTAGGATATCCTCCTAATCCTCTGTTTTGAAAGCCTTATGTATATGTTGGATACTACAGAAGAAACATATATTCTTAACTTATATACGATAATTCGTATATTATAACTGGCTTTTGTTATATTATGAATATACTTAATTAAAATTAGGCATTCCGGAGGATCATTATTATTACCCTAACCTCTCTGACCAAAATTGTTATGCTCTAAAAAGGAAATAGTTGTTACAATACTTGGAGTGTAACAAGTGGGGGCCTGACCATACCCCCGGCCGGGATTGAACCCGCGGTCATAGTCTCAATGGTTTATTTGCAATCGTGTCATTACGATTTCTTAAGTCAAGTGGGGGCCTGTGTCCGGGAGCATAACACTGAATTTCCTTTAAAATGAATGTAGAAATGGCAGAGAGGTTTGAAGATATAACAAAGGAGAAATTACAAAATTTGAAGCTTCAATCTTGTTGGCAATTAGCACGAAGCTTGGGCATAAAATACGACAGGCATTTCACTGCCCAGACAGTCAGATGTATGATACAGAATGTCCTTTTTCCAGATGAGCAGGATCCAGAGACTGAGAATGGAGAAGCAGATATTCCTTCCTTTTTGAATTCTTTTCTACAGACGCCCGAGGCCGAAACTACGACGCTAACAACCCCTACTGGAGACGACGGACATGAACTTCCTGATACTCGGAAACGCTACGCTGCTACAACGACTCCAATTCCATCTCCAAGGACTATATGGGGAACAGAACTCAATCACACTAAAGAAACGGATCCAGGTAAACCATTTACAGATAGTTTTGAAACAGAACAAGAAGTCCTTTTGGATGATGAACACGTTCCACCTCAAATCTCTTTAGCCCTTTTGACTACTATTCAATCTAAGGAGAATTTTGAACGTCTAGAACGTATTTTATTGCTTCAAACCTCCTTTGTAGAAGCCCAGAGAAAGTTAAAAGGGGGGAATTTTGAACGTGAATCTTTGCTTTATGAACGGGAAGTACTGAGGATAAAAGAGAATCTAGTAACATGTATACATCCCTTCATTTGACCTGGTAAAGCAGCCTCTTTGATGCCTAAATTTACGGAGGATAATTTAGATTCATTTTTTGAAGCATTCGAAAATCAGGCGAAGGTGATGCAATGGCCTCCTAAATATTGGGCTGCTTTAATACATTCATCTTTAATAGGAAAAGCCCAAACCATAACTGCCAACTTCCTTTTGAACAATATTCTGATTATACTCAGGTAAAGATTGTCTTCTGAAAGCTTATGATTTATTACCTGTCAGTTATTTGAAGATGTTTAGAACTCTGAAGAAATATCCTCAGCAGTCTTGGGTGGACTTTGCCAGGGAAAAGCTCTCTGCTTTCGAGCGTTGGCGTAGGGCCGCGGGAGCCGCCTCAGTCGAGTCACTTTCCCAGCTGATTGTTGCATGAAGATCTTTTTAAATATTTTCCAGAGAGGGTGCATACTTATCTTTTGACATTTCCCACTATTAACTTGTTAGATACTGCTGCCCACGCAGATCACTTGAAATTTCCCATGCTATAACCACAGAAATGTCTAAGGCCCGGAAAAGAAATCTACCTCCCAAGGTTTTAGTTCAAGATTGACGGCTAGGAAAGCTCCAGCTGGCGAACTTTGAAGGTGTATTCAGACAAAAAACAGGTGACAAACGGCTCTTTCTCCAGACAGTATCCTAAAGATCAATTACCACTGTGCCTTTTTTGTAAAAAGTTAGGTCATAGACAGTCCCAGTGTTGGCATAAACAGCGGGAAGATAAAACCCAACCAAGAGGGAGGTATCCTACCCAGGTAATAAATTCCTCTCGGAAGTATGAAACTCGGGATGATGAATCTCTACCTTTTCAGGCCTCCTCTAGCAGACCGTCTAATAGATGACTTTACCACGACAGTGCTTCAGAAGAAAAGGTCCGAGTAGCTATGGAACCCTACTTTTCCCAGGGGAAGTTCGGACTCTGTAAAGAGAGGTTAGTAAATATCACGACCTTTCGAGATACTGGCAGCTATCTCTCTTTATTAAGATCAAACCTGGTAAAGTTACCTACTAGTAGAGAACCCCGGCTAGACGTATTATTAGAGGCTTACGGAGGCACAATAATAAAGGTCCCTATTATAAGGATTTATGTAGAACTGCCTGGATATGTAGGCTGGATCAATGTGGGACTTTCAGATAAACCTTTTCCCATTGCCGGCGTGGATCTATTAATCGGGAACGAAATTGATCAATTGGAGATACCCAGAGAGCCTCTGGTTTTAGATAATCCTTGTGATGTAAATTATGCCTTAGAAGCCTCTGAGGCAGGGCTAGATTTATTTCCCCTTAATGTGGTCACCAGAGCCATGGCTAAACTCTAACAATTTGGATATTAAACAGCCTTTAGAAATGTCCGATGAATTAGGTTTGAACTTCCTGTTTAGCGAAGCAATTCAGTCGAGACCCACAGGTGACAGTTTTACCAGTCCCTGCGGACCTAGCTAGAAAATGTAATAAAGAAGAATTTCTTATAGCTCTAAAGGACGATAAAAGTTTAACCAATAAGGATAAAGAGGAAGGTTACCTTTTAGATGAAGACGGTTTTCTTTGGAAGAGAAATAATGATAATGATTTGAGTTCAAAAGGAAACTTGTTAGTGGTGCCATCGCCCTTACGTAATATGGTATTTGAACTAGCACATGATAATCCACTGGGAGGTCATTTAGGATCTCGTAAGACAGAGAAAAAGATAAGGAAATATTTTTTTTGGCCTCAGATGAGGACTTATATTGCTGACAAACTACGGAAATGCCACGTTTGTCAAATAATAGGCAAAACGGCGCACAATCCCGCGTCTGCCCCTTTACTTCCAATAAAATGTCCTGAAGAACCTTTTGAAAGATTAGTTATTGATTGTGTAGGACGTTGCCCCGCACAAAAAGGGTAACCAGTATATCTTCACTATCATAGATATGGCAACTCGGTATCTGATGCTATCCCCATGTCCAAAATTAATTCCAGAAATATAGTAAGAGCTTATATACGCTTCTTTGCTCAAGTAGGCATACCACGTGAAATTCAATCTGACCAAGGTTCTAATTTTACGTCTAAGGTTTTTAAAGAGGCTATGTCTCGATTAGGAGTAAGACAGATCCTCTCTACAGCATATCATCCCCAGTCACAAGGAGTGCTAGAAAGATTCCACCAAACCCTTAAATCTACTTTACGTGCTTACTGTGAGCAATATTCTCGTGAATGGGACGAAGGTTTACCCTTTCTTCTCTTCGCCCTCCGTGAAGCTGAACAAGAAAGTACTAAATACTCTCCATTTGACTTGATTTTTGGACATCAGGTGCGAGGACCCCTAGCCATATTACGAGATTCTTGGATAGGGAAGAGAGGACCTCTTCATCCCAGTCCTCTACTTTGGAAAGAACTCTCTCTCCAAATTAAAAAGCTTAGCTGCCGTGAATCTGTCAGAAGCTCAAAGCCAAAATGAAGAAATCTTATGACCAAAAGGCTAAATCTCGTTCATTCTCTCCGAATGAATTAGTGTTAGTTAAAAACTTAATTCCAGGACATTCTTTAAAACCTAGATATTTGGGGCCATATGAAATAGTAGACAAAGAAAATGACGTGAATTATCTGGTCCGTGAACCAGGACGTCGTAAGAAAATTAAGAGGTATCACATAGATAACTTAAAGAAGTACGAGTCTAGCCTTCTCCCTACTATTATTACCTCTATTCAACCTACATCCACTGAAATAAGGAATGACACTGTAAGGGAAGCAAGAGAATTTAGACTACATAATTCTGAAGTTTTAAAAGAACTAGACCATTTCCTGGAAGTTCTTCCTACCTCCCAAAAATCTCAAATCAAAGAGTTAATCACTAAATATAACTCCATCTTCAAAGATATTCCTACTCCTTGTACATTAGGTTTCCACGATATTGAATTGTTAGAAGATAGTCCAATAAAGCAATCCCCTTACCGGGTCTCTCCTGCTAAGCAAGAATTAATTCAACAAGAAATAAATACATTACTGGAATATAATTTGATAGAACCCAGTTGGACACCTTGGGCCTCTCCCTGTTTATTGGTCCCAAAACCCGATGGTACCGTACGCCTATGCACGGATTACCGTAAAGTAAATTCAGTCACCAAACCAGATGGGTTTCCATTACCCAGGATTGATGATTTAATAGATGCTGTAGCCGGTGCCAACTTTGTGACCAGATTAGACTTGCTGAGAGGGTATTACCAGGTGCCGTTAACTCCTAGGGCCCAAGAGATTTCCGGGTTCGTAGTTAAGAACGGACTATTTACGTATAAGGTTATGCCTTTCGGCTTGTGTAACGCCGCCTCCTCTTTCCAGAGAATTATGAACATTTTAGGTCCAACCCTTAGAAGGTGTAGAGGCATACTTAGACGACCTGGTGGTTTTTAGTGATGACTGGCAGTCTCATTTAGATAGATTAGAGCAACTACTGAAAGCATTGCAGAAATACAATTTCACTGTAAATTTACAAAAATGTGACTTTGGTAAAGCCCAGATTAAATATCTCGGTTTTAAAATAGGGAAGGGACTAGTAGCCCCCGACCAATTAAAGGTCCAAGCTATTTTAAATTTCCCGTCTCCTCAAGACAGGAAAGCCCTCCAACGATTTTTGGGGATGGCTACTTATTACAGGCGTTTTTGCCCAAATTTTGCTCAAGTTGCCTCCCCCCTGACTAGATTGACCAGTCCTAAATATAAATTTAATTGGGACGAGAATTGTGAACAAGCTTTTAAACGTTTAAAACGTTTCCTTTCCTCTGCCCCAGTATTGCGTGCACCCAATTTCCAAATTCCTTTCACCCTCCATGTTGATGCCAGTGATGCAGCTATAGGTGCTGTCTTATTGCAATCCTTCCAAAACGGTAATATTCTACATCCAATATGTTATTTTTCCTATAAATTGAAAGAATATCAAAGATCTTATTCAACTATAGAAAAAGAAGCCCTGGCTTTAGTGTTGTCCTTAGAACACTTTGAGTATACCTCGGTTTATACTCCTCATGTGATAATATTTACTCAGACCATAATCCTCTAACTTTCATAAATTCTATGAAATCAAAAAATGTTAGAATATTTACGCTGGGCTTTAAGGATCCAACCTTACGGATCTCCATTTTTCGCATAAAGGGTTCGAGCAACGTGTTTAGCCGATGCTCTCTCTCGCTCCTAATATGGCTTAACTACGGAAATTCTTTGCAGTCAAGCAGTTTCTGGACCAGTTCTAGCAAGTGGATGACTAACCTTGGAATGATGTACCTCCATCCCTATACCAGCTGGTTGGTTTCTTCTACTCCATCAGCATCTTAAACGCCGAGATATTTGCTTGTGGGCCGGGGTGTCATGCCCCTATGGTTAACCTTCCTTTAATATTACATTGCGGTCATTTCCTTTAATAGCTAAATTGGAAATGAACGTCCTTGTATTATTAAGATTAATTCTTATTAACAATTATAATTTATGTAACATGGCCATGATAAGTTTAATTGGAGCTATAGTAACCTGCCTGCCGCCCGGTGTGCCGGTGTGTAGTTAGCCGTGATGTTCGATGGTTATACCCCCCCCTTCCCCCCCCTTTATGTTCAACTACTCTACTGAGTGTTGGTGAGTCACGTCACGTGACCCACTTTACCTGTATGCTCAAGGTTGAGGGACGAGCAGTGAAGAAGTAGCAGCCAACGAGAACACTCCTGCTCGTCTCTGGTAACTGGCCAAGATTTATTAGCCGGCCTGGACATATTCTGTTTTATTCTGACTGCTTCCCCTCTTCAAGGGGGGCTCCTTGGCGTGGTGAAGAGGCTCTTGGTCTGAGGAATTAGACCTATCGGTCTTCTTCCTCAGACCGAACCTAATTACCCCCCAATCTCCCCTCCCCTATCCCATCCTCCCCATCCTCCCCTTTTTCCTTTCCTCCTCCTCCTCCCCACTCCTCCCTTTTGCCCTTCCTCTTTTTGTCCTTTGGGATTTCTCCCACAGGCGCGCTAGTTCCTAGTAGGGGAAAGGGACACCGGGGTCCATCCCATTCCGTTGAGGTTTCTTGGCGGTGGCGTAGTTTGCCGTGGAATCTGGATTGCCTAGGGATGTCCCGATCCCTCTCCGGTATCCCGGAGTAGCTTTGGGTGTCTTTTGGGCGACGGGTGTATCTCTGGAAGCCACCTTTCGGATTCCGGGGGTGGTGGCTGAAGGAGGTATGCTTTGTGGCGGATATCCGGCCGCCCTCTCTTTTGTCCACCGAGGTAGCTCGGCAGATGTGAGGTTGCTATCCCAGTTGCTGGTTTACTGGCATGAAGGGTAGGGTATGGCACGGGTTCCATGCTGCATCTGCGCTACTAGCGGTTGTCGAGTCCTCTGGGCGCGGAGGGAGATTTCTGGCCCTTTCATTCCTCCTAGGAACTATCCCTCCCCGGTCCCCCCTTTTTTTTCTTTTTTTTTTTATTTTTATTTTCTTTTCTCTTTCTTTTTTTTTTTCTTAAAAACAAAAAGAAAGAAGTAACCTAACCATGGCAGCCCTAGTCCATGAACCTGGTACCCCCGGGCCCCTTCTTGATACCGCACCCCGTTCTGACCCCGCCTCGTCTTTGGACCACTCTTCAGACATTCCTCATGCCTCTGTACCTATTGCCGGTGCTGTTTCCTCACCCGCTTCAGGTTACTGAGGCCTCGACTGACTCCTTCGATTTATCAGGACCTTCGCTCTCCTCTGACTATGCTTCCGGCCTCTCCCTCTACGGTGCGGCAATTTTCAAATCGCCGACCCGTTCCACGTCGGACCAACTCTGGTCCCACGCCCTAAACGTCAACGACAATTACCTGCTGATGATACTTCTCCACCTTCACCTTCTCGTTCTTCTCAGAAAACGATCGACACGTCCTTCACTACCTTTCCACGCTCAGTTTCAGACTGAACAGTGGACTAAATTCTTCACTTTACGACCAACTTCCTCTACTGCCTATCTTTCTGACCATAGTATTGGCAAGGCACTCCTCTACGCCATGTTGGTAAAGATATTTCTTTCATGCTCTTAAGAGCGGTACGCGCATCATTACTGTTACAGAATGCTACCAGGCTCGTGAGCTCTCTCGTCTTTCCCATATAGATACTGTTCTGTCACCCTTGAAAAACATCATTCCCTCAATTCTTGTAGTGGTACCGTTATTCTGCCCCATACCATAGTTCAACAAAATTTCCAGACATGTGGCACCGACATTCTAGAACAGCTGGAACTCCAAGATCTCCCAATCCTCAAGGTAGACACTTACGTTCTTCCTGCCCGTGGGCGGAGACGATACCCTAGCAATGTGGCTCGTTTAACTTTTGACAGCCGAGAACTCCCATCCTCAGTTTTATATAGCAGGACATCGGTTACAAGTTCGAAGGTGATCCCTACACCACAACAGTGTAGAAATGCTGGCGATTTGGCCATCCAGCGAAATATTGCAGATCTATCGCCGAATGCCCAGTCTGTGGTGCCGATGACCATTCTAATAGTCTTGCAATCGATCTCCCTCTTGCCTTAACTGTCATGAGGCTCACCCTTCGTACTCTCGCCGTTGTCAGGTCTATTTAAACGAGCGGGAAATCCGTTACCTCAAAGAGACAGAAGGTCTCCCTTATGCCATGGCAGTTTCTCATCTCCGCCTCCAAGGGAGACTCCCACGTGTTTCTTATTCCCGTGTTTCAAAACGTCCCCCCACTTCTGGTATCCCATCTTCTACACCCACCTCTTTGGGTTTCCTCTCCCATAATCACTCCTGTATCTAATCCTTTTGCTGTCCTCGGCTCAGACGTCCCTACTTCAACGCCTCAGTCTAATCTCGCTTCTTCGAGTTCTCTCTTACAAGCCTCAGTATCGACGAGACCTCGTACGACACCTCTTCCCAATCGTCCCTCTACTTCTCAAAAGTCAAAAAAAGGTCCGGTAACACCTCCTACCCATCTTCCACCTCCTCATTTTACCCTCCCTGTCTCTGTCCCTAGTTCTTCCCCTCTCACTGGCTCAGTTACAAGTGCAGAGGTTCACCCTCCTCCTCGTAATGTACCTTCCTCCCCTGTTCCCTCCCAAGTTCTTCCTCTTCTGCCACCCCCCAGGTTCCTGTCTCTTCTGTCCCCTGCCACGCTTCTCCAGTTCCCTCCACCCTTTCGCCCCCCCCTACCTTGGTACAGTCCAAATACAGTTCCAATCTTTACTCATCCTCCCCCTACCATTCCCAATATTGTCTCCCATACGACATCTCTGAATTCCGAAACACTTGAAGCAATCTCTGAATATATTGCAGAGACCAAACCATCAATGGACACTGATCCACCTTCCGCTCTTTCTCTCTCCTCTGCTCCATCTGCGCAACTCCTTTCTTCACAGCGCACCGTTTTCCCTTCGCTGCTTGAACATTTTCCACTGCCCTCCGCATGTGGACTTTTCTAACCCTTCTAGTCCGTAGGAAACCCTTACCTGCGGATTTCAAGTATCTCTATCATTGCCAATCATGGCCTTTTACGTGGAAAACGCGGGTCCTCAGGGGGAATCG